GGTCCAAAGGCCGTCGATCGGGCCCTTGTCGTGTGCCAGGGCCTCCAGGAGCGGCCAGATGGTCGGGTTGTCGACAATCGCGCTCTCGTCCATCTCGCCTGTCTTGCCAGGGCGGTCGAGGCAGGCGTCGTTGACGATCAGGGCCCAGTGGCCGTAACCCAGGGCGCCGTCGGGTCGAGGTCGTATCACGCTCCCCGCCGTGAGGCGGTATGCCTCGCTTGGCCTCAGGTAGGTGTCGAACATCAGCCTGATGAACACAGCCATGCCGAAGAGCTTCCACGATATCAGGACGCCCACGGTGGACGCCATCGCCGCTCGAGGTAGAGGGAGTCGCATCTGTGGGGGAACGAGCTTCCGCCAGCCTGTCAAGGCGCGAGCCGCCCGTGGGCGCGGAGCCCTGCCAGCGAGGATCGCGGGCAGGTAGTGCTTCAGAGCGGCCATGAGTACACGGCCCGTGGCACTGTCGAAGCCGTCCAGAAAGAGGTTCACGAAGTAGGTAACTAGGATGACATCGACCTCCTCTGCCGTGGTGAACGTCTGGGACGTCCAGCGGCACCGCTCCTCGAACTTCTTGGCGGCGCCCCAGTAGTTGGTCATGGTCGTGTCCGACACGGCGGCCGACTCCAGCACCGACAGGGCCCCTCGGGCGAGCAGCGCTGGCCCAGGATGGGTCCTGGTCCTCTGCTCCGCCAGTGTCGTGGTCCGCTGCCGTCGAAGTTCGGGATGCATTCGCTTGGTGCTCCTCGAAGGTCGGCCCGACGAAGAAGCCTGTCCTGGACGGCGAGTCCGCGGCATTGCTCTCGCTGGGGATCCACCGAATGGCGTGGCGGATGCCCGAGGCCGCCGACAGGGCGCATAGACGGCGGAGAGGGTCGCGAAGGCCTCGAGCGCCAGAACGGCCCTTGCCAGCGGCAAGAGCTAGAGCCAAATTGTCAACGGTGAACAAGATGCGATGATGACGAAGCCGTCCAGACCGAGCCGAGTGTCGCATCGCAAACCCGAGAGCCTCCGCCTCGTATCGCATAATGTCCAAGCCGAACCTCGAGTGACGCGAACTGTGTGTCGTGGCCCAGCCGTCGAAAGCCGTGATCGAGTCGGGAACTTCGTCGAAGCCGTCGAGGGAAGCAGCGCCAGCTGGTTGATGTAACGATGATGCCGTAGCCGGAGGGCCCCGGGGATCTTAGGAGGCCTCGGACTGAGGCGGCATTCTTTGGGGCAGTTTTTGTCCACGGCAGCATCTAACGCAGTGCGAGGCTCGATCCCGAGCGCGTGGGCACGGGCGTGCGCGGCGTCGGAGAACCGATAGCGCCATCTCTCAGACAAGCGCCCAGCGGCCGCGGCGACCTCCTGGTCGACGGTTTTGCGGCAGACCCCGATGCCGTAGGGGGAGGCGTCGCTGCAGAAGGTAGTCGCCGACCACTCTGCTCTGACGTCGGCCCACCATAGCGGTATGAGGGCGGCTGCCGCGCGCAGCTCGGCGATGACCGACGGCCGCAGCGGCGCGGCCACTCGGGAGTCCAGGCCCATGAAGCGGTAGACCGAGTTGAAGATCGACAGCATGGGTCTATTGGTGATCATACCCCACGTACAGTGACCCACTACTGCTGACAAGGCCAGAGGCGATGCAAAGCCACGGCTAAGTAGACCATGCAGGGCTTGGCGCAAACGGCAGAGCCTGTCGATCTTACGCCGGACGGTGCCGACGTCGCCGAGGATGTCCAAGCCAGTGAAGACCGCGCGCTTGGCGGCGGGGGCGAACTCGTCGACGGGCAGACCCCTCGACGCGAGCGCGTCACGTATGGCCTGGCAGGCCGTCGTGGCCACATCAGGGTCGAGGGACACGGTGGCAAAGTTGTCTACGTAGCCCGCGCCGATGGCGTCGGAGTCCTTCCGCAGCGGAGGGATGGCAGCGCCGTCCACCAGCATGGAGCTCTCGTCGATTCCCGAGTCGAGGATGGCCGTGGTCAGGGCGGACTGGCAGAAATGGAGGGCCCACGACCAGCCCATCGGCATGACGGAGACGAACGGCTGCAGGAAGGCGTTCGTCCCGATGTTCACGCCGTTGAGCCGCTTGAAGCCCAAGTATCGATTCGGGGCGACGGGCAGAGAAAAATATCGATGCAGATGTGGCGGTAACTTCATATGGTAAAATGCGCACTGTATGTCGCCCTGGGCCACGTAGAAGTCGCGATCGGCCTCGAGTGCGTTCCGTGCCGACGGAGTCGGCAATCTCGTAGAAGGAGGGGCCGAGAAGGACATGTTGGCCACCCGCGTGTCGAATACGAGCCGCAGGTTGACGCCGTTGGACTTCTCGACGAAGAAAAAGCCAGTAGAGAAGGTAGCCTGACGATCGGCAACCTCCCACTCAAGCATGCCAGCCTGGTCCAGGCGTAGCAGAACATCAGCGTGCTCCCGAGGCCGAAATCGAAGACGTGGATCCACATGGGGCGACCCCAGTCCCGAGTCCTTCCTGAGAGCAGCTGCATCAGCAGGGTCACGTAGCATTTGATGCCTCCACCCTGACAACATAGAACGATCAGCTTCAGACACGAGGTCGGCCGTCGGGACAGGCGCCACGTGCTTCGGCCAGGAGACGAGCTCCTTGTTGTAGGGTCTTACCCGAGACTCTCCAGAGTACCCGGGCGCCGACGCGAGCAACTCTGCGAGGGCTGCCTCGCATCTCAGAGGAGATTCGGAATATCCAGGAGGTAGTTCAAAATCGCGATACTGTTGAGCAAGATACTCCTCAGCGTCACTACGAGCGCGCGGAGGAAGACCAGGAGGCGGGCTGATCACATCGTTCGGGTCGCAGTGGTACATGTCGTTGAGAGTGGACACCGCGTCGTTGTACCACTCACGCCAAGCAGCACCCCTGGCGGCCCGTCTGCGGGCCGACCCGCCCATGGATGAAGAGCCCGATCTTCGCTCCACAGGAATAGGGTGGAGGGGAAAAACGTCTCGCTGCCGAGGGGGTCGTGCAGCGAGGGGGCAATGAGCCTGGCTGGCGCCACTGTGGCGCGCCCCGCAGCCAGGCCTGAAGTTCTCAGGCGTCATGGCGCCCGCAAGGCCCGCTCCTCGCGAGCCTTGCGGCGCTCTTTGCTGATGGCGGCCTCCGCCCTCATCTGGTCTGCGATGTACTCCAGCAACTTCGGCGGGATGCAGAGATTGGCCTTGGAGACGCCTGCGCCGAGGAAGTAGCTGGTCTCAGGCGAGCTGGAGGTCCCAGCTGCGGCGCCGCCTCTGGCCGCGGCCTTGGCCTTGGGGGCTGCGCCGCTCGGAGGTGCCGATCGCGTCTCGTACACCCGCTCCTCCAAGAGCTGGAGCTGGCGAGCGACGATCTCGAGCGATGCCATCTCGGCGATCTGCAGCTGGTCGTACACGATGGCGAGGTCCAAGACGCGGCAGAGAGTCTCGTGGAGCTTTGCGTGCTCGTCCTCGTCGGGCAACGCCATCGACGTGAGCCACCTCTGGTGCCGCGCCGTGGGCGTGCCCGCCATCGTCGACATGAAGGACAGGCACCAGAGGAGGGTCCTCGGCCCTTGCACAGGCCAGCCCTGCACGGGCGTCTCCGAGAGGGCGTTGACGGTCTCGCCGAACCTCCTCTCGCGCTCGCCCCGCGGGTTGAGCAGCATCGGGAGGGCCCTGAAGTCGCCGACGGGGGCGGGCGCCACAGGGGCGGCGGCGGGAAGCGCAGCCGCCACTGCGGGTGCGGGCACCGGCGGCAAGGCCCCCGCGGGCCCAGGCGGGACGGCTCCCAACGCGGCGGCCAGCGCAGCGACGCCAGGGGCGACGCCGAGAGGGGCCGCCGCAGCGGCCGCCGCCGCGGGGGGTAGCGCCAGCGGGGCCGCGGCCCCCTGGTGGCGCCGCCCCTTCCCCGCCAGGTGGTGGCGGCAGGGCCGCAGGCGGCAGGGCGGCCGCAGCCGCAGGGTCCGCCAGCGGGAAGGGACCAGGCGGGGCGCCTGCCACGTTGCCCGCCGCGAGCGCCAGCGGCAGAGGGTCGGGGGGTCTCGGGTAGCCCGCGGCCGCCGAGCGAGCGACAGCCGCCCACAGCTCCGCGGCCGTCGGAAGGCGGCGGAAGCGGTGCACCGCGACGCCCGCCAGGGCTGGCGGCGTGTCGCCCTGGCCCGTGAGCTGCAGGACCGCCCGCACGTCGGGGCCGACGACGATGGGCTCGTCGTAGTCGTCGAAGTCGGGAGTGAGGATGTAGGCGAGGCCCCCGTTGACGCCAAGCACGAGGCGCTCGTGCCAAAGGGGGACGCCACCGACGCGGTAGCGCAGCACGTGGAAGCTGCCCGCCATCACTGCAGCGCTGGGGCGCGGGCTCGGGCGTCACGGACCTGCTCTGCTGAGCCGCGAGGGCGGCGATGTCGATGCCGTCCACGATCTCCACCACGGCGGGCGGCTGGTGGGCCGACTGCCCGAAAAGCCGCCGCGCCGCCCAGGCGCCTCCCACGGCCCCGACGGCGAGGCCGACGGTCAGCGCGGCCACCGAGTGGGCCGTGACGAGGCCCAGGCACGAGGGCTCGACCACGTGCCCGCCCGCGCCTGCGCAGACGCAGGCGGGGCAGGAGAAGGTCGGAGGCGCGGGGCAGGCCAGCTGCGGCGAGCAGGCCCCGCAGCTCGGCGCGGCGGCCCGCGCCACGACCGTGGCCCCCAGCGCCTGCGCCCCGTACCTCAGGACGTCCGCCGCATGGTGGGCGATGTCTTGCATCCCTGAGCAAGACACCTGAGAGACTTGAGAATGGAAACGCGGCCCGAAAGAGAGCCACAAATAGCCGCGGGCAGCATAATGATGATGATTCTGATGATGATTCTGATGATGATTAGGAGGAGGAGGAGGAGGAGGAGGAGGAGGAGGAGGAGGAGGAGGAGGAGGAGGAGGAGGAGGAGGAGGAGGAGGAGGAGGAGGAGGAGGAGGAGGAGGGAGGAGGGAGGAGAAGGAGGAGGAGGAGGAGGAGGAACCGGAGGAGGCGGAGGAAGAGGAGGACAAGGAGGAGGACCGAGGAGGAGGAGGAGGAGAGGAGGAGGAGGAGGAGGAGGAGGAGGAGGAGGAGGAGGAGGAGGAGGAGGAGGAGGCGTCTCCAGTCGCTCCGGGTGTCCTCACGGGCGCAAGACCCCGGAGGTGTAGTCGGCGTTGCTGCTCCGGGACTTCGGCAGGCTGCCCCACAGCCAGCAGCGCGGCGGCGACCCGGCGCCGGCCCAGCGGGGGGTGAAGGTCCATGACCGGCACTGGGAGATCCCTCCGCACCTCGACAAAGCGCGTTCCACTGCTCGCAAAGTAGCTGCTCGCAAACGGCCTGGACCCGCCGCGGGGGATCTACGGCAGATTACACAGAGGAAGCCACTTGTTTGTCTGGACGCTTGCGAGTAGGCACTTTGCGAGCAATGGAACGCGCCCGGTGAGCACCTGCGGCAGCAGCCCGCGGGGTCCTCCACGTCCTCGACGTGCATGCGCCGGGCGGACGCATCCATGACCAGGTCGGTCGCCGCCTCGTGCGAGTCGCAAGACGGGAACTCGGCCTCCTCCATTTGGGGCGCCCGAAATGAGCACGGACAAGTGGGCACAATGCCCGACAACACACGTTTGCCCCAAACCATCAGCGGCCGCTGTTGGGCAGGCGGCCTCGTGTCTCACATGGACACAGGCCGCGGCGACACCGACAGCGAGTCTGTCCAGAGTGAAGCAGCTGTTGGGCATCGCTCCCACCCTTTCCGTACCCACTTCGACCGTGCCGAGGCTCCTTCGGGTGCGAACTCGTGGCCGCCGGCTCTGGACTCTCCGCCTGCTTGAGTTTCTCCGCCTCTGCCGCCGGTGGCCGCGGCGTGCTGCTCGCACTCTTGTCTTCCGCCGCCGCCGTCGGTGCCGTTGATTTAGGGCGACGAGATCTACACATATCCACTGATCCTGACCAGGCCCATCCTGGGCCCAGGAGCGGTGTATATGCCTCCCTGGCCAAGCCAGGAGGGCGTATACACAGCTCCTGGGCCCAGGATGGGTCTGGCCAGGATCAGTGGATATGCATAGATCTCGTCGCCCTATGCTTCCGTCGCGGCGCCACCAACAGATCCTGGAAGGCGCAGGGTGACGCTCAAGGCAGAGTGGTCGCTGCCGCCCTTGCCAAGGTCCTCCGAACTTGCCACCGCGCCGGGGCCCATGTTCGTGAAGACTGCGTCCTCACCCACTCCGAACGCCTTGTGCAGTCGCTGAGACAGCATCTTGAACATCGGCTTCCCCTCGAAGGCGTTGAAGTCGCCGAGCATCACCACAGCGTCGCCCTCCAGGGCGTTCCGCGCCACCGTGCGCAGCAGCAGGTAGGCTGTTGAGGCACTGCCGCACCGCCCGCCAGAGTCGATGGGCACTGGCCCGTGGTGGTTCATGAAAAACAGCGTCTGGCCCGTCTTCTTATGCTTCAGGCGCATCCACTGCGCGGGGCGTGGACCGTAGTCGTCTATGGCGACGTAGAACACGCCCTTGGTCAACAGGGTCCACCTCTGCTTCTGCTGCTGCTCCTGCCCGTCCTGCTGCTGCTCCTCCTCCCCCCTCCTCCCCACCTCTGCTTCTGGTACGCCATGCAGCAGGCCCTGTCTCGGAAGACGTCGTAGTGGTCCGCAAGGCCCGAATGGTTGAGTAGCCAACCCTCGTCTCCGCACTCCTGGAACCCTATGGCGTCGAAGTCGTGCTCCTTCGTGCTTCTCGCGATCAGCTCGGTTCCGGTGTTTCCATTCGTCTCCTTGTACGGCTTCTGGTCGCCAGGCTTCCCCTTGTCGAACAAGATCCACCAGTACAGGTTGTACGACATGATCGTGACATCGAGCGGTGAGGCGTCAGAGGCGCTGCTGTGGTCGTGGACGCTGGGCAGCTCACCCTCCTAGGAGTACTTACGCGACGTCAGCGTAAGCTTTCGGAAATCCGCGCGTATTTCTCAGTTCGGCGCTGGACCCCCTCCCCGCACCCAAGAAATCCGCGCGGACCTCAGATTGTTATATAAGGTTTACGTGATCTTTCGATTTTCGATTACCCCGACTGGATGGTCGTTCGATGGTTAGGCGGTCTTCCGATGGTCGTTGGATCTTTCGATCGTCGATTACCCCGTCGATGCCCCCGGGAAACCTATCGTGTCGAAGACCCCTTGAGGAGTGGTGCCGAGAAGCCGGTGGGCCCCCCAGGGGTGCACTCACAAGACTGGGAAGACGCACGGCTCGAGGACCCTCGGAACGTCTGTTTCCCCCATCAATGCTTGCACTGAAGGGGTCCCAACGAATCTTGAAAGATTTGGCGAAACTTGGCGGCCGATTTCGTTGGGATGCCGGGTTCCAGGGTTCCCGATTCCAAATTTCCGGGTTCCCAAGTTCTGGGTTTCAAGGTCCCTGGTTCTGGGTTCCGGGTTCTTGTTTCCGCGTTCCCGATTGCGGGGTTCCCGATTCGATCTCACTCAATCGATCTCACGCAATCGATATCACCCAATCGGACTCACCCGATTGATCTCGCCCAATCGAATTCCTGATCAACCTCACTCAATCGATCTCACTCAATCGATCCCACTATCGATCTTCGAACCACCCACCCACTGATAGGGTTTTTTAGGGTTTTTTCGCTGGTGCCATTCGGCGCCAGCGCGTGCTTGTCCACCGAAGCCCTTCGCTACGACGCAGACGGAGGAGGAGGAGGAGGAGGAGGAGGAGGAGGAGGAGGAGGAGGAGGAGGAGGAGGAGGAGGTGCAGACGAAGGTCAGCACGAGGCGGCGTGCTGCCCGCGGAGCTGAACGGGGCCAACACGCACGAGGCACGACGATCACCGGGGGTCTGGCTTGGGCGGGGGGGGGACGCATCGAGCTGGCACCGGCGATACACATCGCCGATGGACCGTGGAAGCCGCACCTCCCTGGGCGGGGCGGGGCTTCTCGGGCCCCTGTCGGCGAGGAGCGGGCGACGGGGGTCGATGCATCCCCCCCTAGTCGGTGGCGCGCAGACATGGATTAGCGATCCATGGCTTTGGCGCGCGGTCGCCAAATCCACGGATCGGGGGAGGTGCCCTCCCCAAAATGCGGCCGGTGCCGGCCCGCTCGGCGGCGGAAATCCGCGACTTCCCGTGGAAGCGGGACCCGTCGCTAATCCACGCCCCTGTGATCCACGTTTGCGATCGCCTGACCTATCGGCGATGAGCGGACGATTGGGGTCGATGCATCCCCCCCTATGCCCTTCCCCCCCTGTGGTTGCCCCCGAACACCTTGGGCTAACTTTAGGTCGGGCATGTCCACCTACAGGCGGATTTTGGATGACAAATAACAACTAGCCAACAAATGCCCCCCAAATGCCCAACAATGGTCAAAACATCGTCCTCAGACATTTTTTTGTTTTTCCTATTATTTTTTGATATCCCCCCTGTAGAGGGACATGCCCGACTTAACCCTCTGCCCATTCCCCCCTGTGGTTGCCCCCGAACGCCTCGGGCTAACCTAACGCACGCGCCCTGGGGGATCCGCGGCACATGGCGGGATCCGCGTGCGGCGCGCGCCCGGAGAGGCCGCGCGCGGGATGACCAATTATTGCACACAGCAGGCGGAGGGCGGGCGTGGCCCGGCCATGGCAGAAGGCCGCACGCGCCGCATCTGGCCGCCCGTGTGTTCAGTTTTTTAGAGGGCAGAAATTCCACCCCGATAGTAACCACCCCGACACGCGAAGCCGTTTCGTAAACGCACCCAAAGAAGGATTCAAACAGGGCAAGGCTTTAGTAAACGCCCAAGGCCGTTTAATAAACGCCAATTGTTCGGTCTGGGCGGTTTTTCATCCCTTTCGCCCAGGCTCATGTTGCTCCCATCGTACTTAAGGACCACATCCCAGAAACACTTTTGAGCGCCCATGAAAATGTCGAAGCAACGTCGAACGAGGATCGCCTCCCAGTGCCCGACGCATGAACACCCCCCAATTTCGGTACTTTCCTGCTGCTCGAAATTCTTCCTGGTGATCAAGGCTCACAAGCCCAGGCTGGCCACTTCACTCGGCGGCGAGCAAGCGAGGAGGGGTACATGAGAAGGAGAAGGCCTTCTCAAAATGCGGCGGGGCTTCTCAGAAGCCCTCGCGCCTTTTGAGGAGTTTTCTGTGTCTTCGGGGAAGGCTCAAAAACCTCTCACAAGGCCGGGGACTTCCGAACCTTTTGAAAAGGTCCCTCTCCCCTCGCTCGGCGCCGATTCATTAGAGGGCGGAAAAACCACCCCCTCAATTACCTCCGCACTAGAGCCGACGCCCTTCAGCAAACGCGCCCGAGGAAGGAGTCGAGCGGGACGAGACTGTCTAGGAAACGCGCAAGGCCAATCATGGAACGCCATTTCTGCGGGTCAAAATGGCCAATTGTCCTCCCCTTGGCGCTCATACGCACCAGTCCTCCTGGCAGAAACCGTGCTTCCCCTCCAACTGGGAGGGGACCCGCACCGAAGGTCACTCCGGCGAAGGGTCACTCCTTACGTGTAGCCTTAGGTCGGGCATGTCCCCCTACAGGCCGATTTTCGAGGACAAATATATGTGAAAAAGAAACATAGAACAATCGTCCCCAGAGAACAATCGTCCCCAGACCCTGTAGAGGGACAGGCCCGACTTAAATGTAGCCGAAACTGACCCCCCTGCTTTGTGCGCTGCTTTCGGTTCTGGCCCGCCTGCCGCCCTCCCGTGACGGTGGCCGACCTGCCGCGGGGGCGGGGGCCTGCTCGGGGGGGGGCGGCCACGACTTGAGCGACGACCCACTCCGGTGCCCCCCGGGCCGAGGGGAGGAGGAGGAGGAGGAGGAGAAGGAGGAGGAGCAGGAGCAGGAGCAGGAGCAGGAGCAGGAGGAGGAGGAGGAGGAGGAGGAGGAGGAGGATCTCGTTTTGATCAAAAACGGATCTCGCGCGAGATGACGCAGCGACCTTATGCGGCGGCTCACGCGGGCCGCCCGCGCGGCGCATCAGATCTGGAACGAGGGCGCTCACGCGCGAGCTGACGCGGGCAGCCTACGCTTAGGTCGGGCCCGTCCCCCTACAGGCGGATTTTGGGCGAAATATTAAAAATACTTAAATGCACCTAACTAGTCAAGCAATAATTAAAAGAAATTCCCATTCTATTTTTCAACTACCTATACGACCACCCTTCGGGTGATAAGGAGGTTGTGGAGGGGGGAGAGGGGGGGACCAACATCGGATTCAATCGATCTCACTATCGATCTCACTCAACGGGACACCATAGGACACC